CCAGGGATGGATGGATCCTTATACAACCCCTTCCAAGTATCCTGCAACACAGAGGAAGCTGAGGGCACTCTGCTCCCTGCTTCTTTTCTCTTGCCTTTTTACTGTGCTGCAGTGACTGGATAGAGCTCAAAACTCAACCCCCATTTACTGCACCAGCTCTTGCTCAGAAACGTATTTGGGCACAGATTTTCCGCACCAAATCCTGGCTTGCTCCTGGTTCAGAGGATGAGCTTTAGCAGCTCAGCTACACAACAACCTGCATCTGATGAGAGACTAAAGCTTGGCCACATGCTGCTCAGATGGGGTCTTGCCTACTCACAAGTGAACAGAGAAGCTTTACAACCAACCTCATCTCCCCAGCCCTGCACTGAGCAGGGCACTGGGCTAAGAAGATCCCTTCCAGCCTCTGGACAGAGAGGAACAGTTTAAGCACTGAAGCAGTAACAGGATACGTGTTTAGACCAGCAAATACATCACTCCAAACCTGCATCTCCTTGCTGCTGCAGCACTGAAGGTTGGCTGTAAAGCTTTTCCATCCAGTTTTCATGTAAGACCCACAGAAGCTGCTGCTGTCAAAGGACTGTGGATGTGATGCAGCCAACTGCACCTCAGTGAGTGCCCATCCCTGCAGAGGCTTCAGGCCCACTGTCACACACAGGCATGATGGAAAGGGTTAAATCAAACACATACCCTTCAGAATCCCAGCTTGGTTTGGGTTGGAAGGACCTTAAAGCTCCTCCAGCTCCAACCCCTGCCACAGGCAGGGACCCCTTCCACTGGAGCAGCTTGCTCCAAGCCCCTGTGTCCAACCTGGCCTTGAACACTGCCAGGGATGGGGCAGCCACAGCTTCTCTGGGCACCCTGTGCCAGCGTCTCAGCACCCGCACAGGGAAGAGCTTCTGCCTAAGAGCTCAGCTCAGTCTCCTCTCTGGCAGGTTAAGGCTTTCAGGAAAGGTGCTGTGGCTCAGAAACAGGGCCAACCACCCAACTGACTGCTGCAAGAGGAAGAAATGGGCAAAGACATGTGGAAGACCAAAAGGAAGACTGCTCTGTTCTCCTATCAGCCAGAGAACTTGGCTCTAGGAGCAAAAAGCCCTGCACATCAGTACATGTGAGACCAAGCTGACCCCAGCCAACACCACCCCACGGGAGGCACAGGACGGACGGTGCCTTGGAAGAGGTGGGCTCAAGATGTTATGCTAGAGATAACACATAACCAACCTCTCATGTCGAGAGGCACCAACGAAACCACCTCACTCTGTCACATCAACCACCTCCATCTGGTTCAGGGTCACCATCAGCAAGCTGCTCCATTGGGGTGACACTGGCAGAGGAGACCACCAGGCATGACATGACATTGGGAAGGTGAAGCAGCCAGGGACTGGTTTAACCCTGGGATTTAAGAGCTATGCAAATGCCTCTCCTTCCTCAAGAGGCTCTCAATTAATGAGGTGTGAGGCTCAAGCAGCTGCGCTGGAGGTAACAGAAAGGAAGACACTCACTTTGTGATTTCCCCAAACAAATTACAAGTGGTTAAAGTGAAAGCCCAACTGTGATTATTGAGCTCCATCGCTGCCTTAGCGAGATTAAAATTTCATTTCTATGAATTATTTTAGATTTAGCCTCAATTTAGAGCCATTATTTGCAGAGCAAACAGATGCAAAGCAGGTTTAATCTCTTCAAATACACAGCTGGGGATTTGCATGGGGAAGGCTGAAGAATTAATAGAGGAAGAATAAGGAGCATTCCTGCAGCGATGGAGGTGTTGGTGGGGTCAGGAGAAAAGGAACAAGAGCTGGGGCTCAGTTTGCACCAAGTCACCTTCAGCCCAGCCTCAAGCACCAGGTCTCACAGCCCGTGTCCACCCCCTGTGGGCTCAGGCCTCTGCTGTCCCTGCCTCGAGGTGGGGATGTCGCCTCTGTCCTGCATGGTGGAAGTGGCAGTTCTAAGCAGTGACAGCCCAGAACACTCCAGAGCTCTGCAATGGAGTTTAAAGGGTAAAACTAAGAGCAGTTATATTAACCCCACACAGAGAAGCTTTGATTGCTCACCTGTATCTACCAGCAGCATGATCAATACCTGTCCAGGAAGCCACTGGTTTGAGCTACACTGACAATCAGCACACACAGTGTCAGCAACCCCAGAGTGGCCCCACACCCCCTGGACCACTCACCAGCTTTTGGAGAAGTAAAAGGGGATGGAAGCAGCATGATAAATGCTCAAGCAAGGCTGTGAGTGCAGAGGCAGGGCATGGAGATGAGCAGAGGCTTTGTGATGGGGCAGAGGGGGGACAGGGACCTTCAAAAGCAGATAGGACAGAGCACGTGCTAGGGTGACAGAAATCAGCCTGCTCTGCCTCAGCTGCAGCCTCTGCTTCCCCAGGACCTGCACCATGGCATGTGGAGGATGTAGGAGGGAGCAGCAACTTCCAACTGCCCCATCCTGCTCTGGACACCCACCTCACAGCTTCCCCCACGGCTGCTGGGCAGCCTGGGATGAAGCTGAGGTGTCAGCTTGGATCAAGCAGCAAAACCATTCCTGCCCCCTTCCCCTGTCTGCTCTTTACCATGGGCTTTGAAGCCCAAAGCAGGGAGCAGGCTCCAGCACCAGGTACACAACAAAATCCAACCAGAGGCACAACCCTGAGACTACAGACTCACAGTGGAATCACTGAGCTCCTCAGGAGGTGCTGCCTCTAGAGAGCAGCAATGGCAGGGGACAAGCACAAAAAGCCAAGAGGTAGCAGCGATTGCCCCTGCCTGGCTTGGCAGGGAGCAGAATGCCCCCAGGAGCAAGCTGCCAATGAGATCTCCATCCCTGTCACCATGAGGTACCACTGACAGCTCACAAAACACATCTCAAGAACGCCCAGAGATCACACACAAGACTTTCGCTGCACCTCCTGCCACTAATGCTCTCTGATGGGTTCCCCCTCCCCAGCCTCCAGCCGGGTCAGGAATTCTCCTTCCCATCCCAAAGGACCCACGACACCATGCCTGGGCTCACCACGCTGCTTGCTCCACTCCCACCTCACCCTGCAAACCTTGGGATAGGGGCTGGATCCCTTCAGGAGGAGCATGGTCCCCCTCCTCTTGGACTTTCAGGTGGGACAGCCAAGCCCACCACGGGCACAAGCTCTGCTCCTGGCTCCAGGTCTCACCATGGTGAAGACCACAGCAAGCCCTTCCCTGGGCCACTGTCCCATCCCATCTCCTCCCTCACCTGAGCCCCAGTGACTGATCCAACCTCAAGCCTTGGGTTTGGGGTGTTGCTGCAGACTCAGCAAGCCAAGAGCTTTCCTCAGAGCCCTGTGGGACAAAGATGAGGACAGAGGCCTGGCCAGGGAGCTGGGCTGCTTGAATACCACTGGAGTTAAACACACACCTCACCTGCATGCAGCCTGCACCAGCCCCATCTGCATCCCAACGACTTCCCCTGTGAAGGGCACCACCTGAATCCCCAGTGCCAGAAAGCCACATCCCTCAGGCACCAGCTCCAACAGGACCATACCCACAGCTCAGGAGCTCCCAAAGGGCTGGCGAAGCCCACCTGCAGCAGTGAAGCTTTTGGGGCAGGAGCCTCCCCAAGGAGTCATCAAAAGAGGCGTGAGCTGGGTGGTCAAATCCCACCTGAGAGCGCTGCCTTATCCCTGATCCCAGCATGAAACAAGTGGCCGCATCCTTAAGGAAACACGTAAGGACTGACTTTTCATCACACATTATCACTGGCACACTTGGAACAACCATGCAAGCACAGAGCCAGGCCACTCAAACCCTCCTAGCAGCGTAATGGGCACAGCCACTGCCCAAACTAAACCCTTAATCCCTAAGGATGGCAGAAAGCTCTTCAGAGCTGACAACAGAGCAAGGAAACCCGCAGTGACAGCCAGCCCTGCTCACACACACGGGAATTCCACCACGACTGGGGTCAGGCTCCTGGAATAGGAGCTATTAAATGGAGTTAAACTGCGTGGAGGTGCCTCTGCACGGTCCCATCCTTCCAGAGGCGCTGAGAACACAGCGACGACCAATGCGACCCACGGAAAACCCCGCACACAACGGGAGGAGGCACCAGGACACGACCCCCGGGCCCCCCTGTCTCCGGGCTGGAGCTGGGAACTGCCGAGAACGTGGAAAACTCCTTCCTGTGTGTTTGTGGAGCGCCTGGAGTGGATCCCCTTGGATTTAAGCCTGGCCAAGCAGGACACTGCGAGCCTCGGGCTCCTTGGGACAGCCGGTAACGCACAGGGGGTGACTTCAGCTGTGACAGTGGGATAACCATGGCTTGTAACCAGGATAAACCTCAGTTATAACCGGGATAGACCTCAGTTATAACCGGGATAAACCCCAGTTATAACTGGGATAGACCTCAGTTATAGCCGGGATAGACCTCAGTTATAGCCGGGATAGACCTCAGTTATAACCGGGATAGACCTCAGTTATAGCCGGGATAGACCTCAGTTATAACCGGGATAGACCTCAGTTATAACCGGGATAGACCTCAGTTATAACCGGGATAGACCTCAGTTATAACCGGGATAAACCTCAGTTATAACCGGGATAAACCTCAGTTATAGCCGGGATAAACCCCAGCTATAACCGGGATAGACCCCAGTTATAACCGGGATAAACCTCAGTTATAGCTGGGATAAACCTGAGTTATAAGCAGGATAGACCTCAGTTATAGTTGGGATAAACCTGAGTTATAACCAGGATAGACCTCAGTTATAGCCGGGATAAACCTGAGTTATAACCGGGATAAACCCGGGCTATAACCGGGATAACCCTCGGCTCCAACCGGGACAAACCCCACTTCCAAGCCAGACCCCCAGCCCAACACCCGGTCCCGCAGGCCCCAGGCCGCAGCCGCCGCTCCCACCAGCGGCCCGAGCGCACACCCGGGCTTGGCCCCGCTGCCGGCCCACGGGAGGCGGCAGGAGGGTCGCGGCCCACCTCAGTGACCCCCACCCCCTCACCGGGAGCCCCGTCCCGCCCCGTCACCTCGCAGCTGAACTCCATCTCGGCGTCCATGGTGGCGATGCGCACGGTGAACGTCTTGGGCTGCTTCCTCTTGAGCGAGCTGAAGCTCATGCGGGACGCGATGGCCCCGGCCATGGCGGGGTACCTCAGCGCGGCGGCAGCGCCATGGCGGCGCCCGGCCCTCCTCCCCGCCGACCCGGCAGCACCGCCCTGAGCCCGCCCTCGCAGCAACGCTATTGGTCTCTCGCCGCTTTGGTCCCGCCCCGGCATGGCGTTTATCCAATAGAAAAGCGAGTGATGGGAGGGACGCGGCTGTGGTTGGGGAAAGTGGATGTCGCTCAAATGAGCGGGTGGGGAAGCGGCGCCCTCTTGTGGCAGGAGAGGCAGACTGCACGCCTCGCACTGGCCGGTGGCGCATGCGTGCGGTGGGGTGGAGATGGGCGCTAGGACCCTGCAGCGCGGGGCGGGGGGTCCCGGTGAGGCGGGGGGCACAGGGGGAGCTGCCCCCCCCCCCCCCCGGGGGTCCCGGTCCCTCCCCGGGTCCCGGCTCTGCCGCAGCGCCCCTGGTCCCGCTCCGGGCACCGGGAGGGGGCTCGGGAAGGCGGGGACAGGGGGCGGGACCGGAGCAACGGGGCTTGAAATGGGGCTGGGACCGGGATTGGAGCAGGGACAGCGGCACCGGGATAGCGGGGAGGGACCGGGATAACGGGACAGGGCTGGGAATGGAATCCGGACAAGGGGACTGAGACTGAGATAACGGGACGGGGACGGGATCGGTATCAGAACCGGGAAGAGGGGCGGGACTGGAAGCGGGACGCAGGGACCAAGACAGCGGGACTGGGAGAGCGGAACGGGAGTGGAACCGGGACAACGAGGAGGGACTGGGACCGAGACTGGAGCAGAAGCAAAGGCACCGGGACAGCGGGAAAGGTCTGGGACGGGGTCCGGGACAACGGGACAGGACGGGGACGGGAACCGCGACAAAGGGACTGGCACTGAGCTGACCTGACGGGACAGGAGCAGGGGGACAAGGGACGGGACCGGGACAGGGACGCCGGGACCAAGACAGCGGGACTGGGACAGCGGAACGGGAGCGGAACCGGGACAACGGGGCAGTGGTAACGGGAGTGGGACCGGGATAACGGGAAGAGAGAGGGACTAAAACCAGGATCAGGACAACGGTACCGGGAAAGGCACAGCGGGGCCGGGACAACGGGACCGGGAAAACAGGACGGGACCAGAGCCAGGGCAGCGGGACGGGACTTGGGCTGGAGCTGGGGCTGGGAAAACGGGACCGGGACAACGGGACCGGGGCCAGCACCGGGGCCGTGTAACGGGGCCAGGACTGGGTCCAGGACGGGGGTACCGGGAAGGGCTGAGCCCCCACTCCCCCCCGCCCCGCTCCCCCCCCGGCCCGTCCGCCCCCGCCATGGGGAGAACGGGTCCTCTGTGCCCGCGGACAATGCGGACATTGACGGGGCGCGGCCCCCCCGTGTCCCCGCAGCACCCCCATGGCAGGAGCCGAAGAGGCCCCCCCCCGCCGCCCCCCACAGCCCGCGGGCCCGGACACCCCGGTGGGTACGGGGGGGGATTGGGGGAGCCAAGGGGGGCCGGAGGTGCGGGCATGGGGAGGTACCGGGGGCAATGGGAGCTGGGGAGGGGGGGGTCATGCGGAGCTATGTGGGGGGGCAACGGGGGGTATGGAGGTGGGGGGGCCAATGGGGGCTGGATGAGGGCAGAGGAAGCCATAGGGAGCAATAAGGGCTAGGGGGCTATGGAAGGTCATGGGAGGGTGTGGAGGGGCAATGGCAGCTATGGGGGATCAATGGGGCTGGATGAGGGCAGGGGAAGCCATGGGGGGCAATGGGGGCTGAGTTCAGGCAGGGGAAGTTATAGGGGGCAATAGGTGCTAGGGGGCACCCAAGGGTTCTATGGGGTGCTGGGGGACCCGTGAGGAGCTATTGGGGGGTATAGGGAGGGGCCAGGGGAGCCCTGGGGGGGTCACTGCGGGGTGGGGGTGCCTGGGAGGGAGCCGAGGGGTCTGGGCGGGGGGGTCCGGAGTCCCTGAACTTGCTGAAGCCCCTGCCCAGCCCTGCCGGGCCGTGCCGCGGGTCCACACCTTCGGGAAGGGGGGACAGGCGCTGCGCAGGGACCCCCGCGCCCCCCCCGCCATGAGGGGCTGGCTGCGCAAGCAGGTGGGGGGTGAGGGGGGGGCTGTGGGGTCTGGGGGGGGGGGGGGCTGAGGGGGGAGTCTGTGGGGCTTGGGGTCTGGTGGGGATGTGGGGTTTGGGGGGCTGGGGTGGGGTTATGGAGTGGGAGGGGTCTGGGGGGCTGAGGGGGGAGGGTTTGAGATCGGGGAGGACTGGGGTGGGGAGTACCGGGTATGAGGGGCTGGGGGGGGCTGAGGTGGGGGTATGGGAAGTGGGGGTCCGCAGTGGTGGGGATCGCGTTGGGGCTCTGGGGTGTTAGGGGTCTTTGGTCGGGTTATGGGGCGTCTGGAGTGGGGGTGCTGTGGTGTTACGGTGTTTGGGGCATCAGAAGGGGTTTGGGGGTCCCCGGGGGTGACGGGTTTGGGGCGGCCTCACCCCTATGCTCCCCCACCCTCGGCCCCAGGACAGCTCCGGGCTGCGTCTGTGGAAGCGGCGCTGGTTTGTGCTGGTCGATCTCTGCCTCTACTACTACAGGGGTGAGAGGGGCTGGGGGGCAACTGCGGCCCTGTGGAGGTTGGGGGTCCATGGGGGGGGCATCAGAGATCCTTAGGGATTGGGGTCCCTGAGGGGGCTGAAGGAGTCGGGGGAGAGAGGTTTGGTGGGACCCATAGGAGGTCCCTGACATCCCCCCATTGATGCTGGGGGGTCTCAGGTTGCTGATGGGGTCCCCCCCATTGAGACCCCCCTCTGCCCCCCCTCAGACAGCAGCGAGCAGCGAGTGCGGGGCGGCCTCCCCCTGCCCGGCTACGAGATCCGCGTCCTGCCCCCTGCGCCCCGCGCCCCGCACGCCCCCCAGTTCCTCTTCACGGTCAGCATCGCTCCCTGGAGCCCCACAGCCGGGGGTGCCCTATGGGGAGGGCACACACAGAGGGTCCGGACCCCTCCGCCATGGGCACCCCCGTCCTCAGGCCGAGCATCCCGGGATGCGGACGTACTGCCTGGGGGCCGAGACAGCCGAGGAGCTGAACGCCTGGGTCTGCGCCCTGCGCCGGGGGGCATCGCCCCTGCCCCGGTGAGGGGGTACCAGGGGGCTGAGGCCATGGGGCAGCATGGGGGGGGGGGCTGTAGGGGGGCGTTGTGGGCTTTGGGGAGGGGGGCAGAGAGGGTTGGGGGGGGTCACAGTGGTTTGGGTATATTTAACCCCTTAACCCCTGTGCCAGCTCCCCACAGGAGCCCTGGGGTGCGGGACCCCCGTCCCCCCCGTTGCCCTCTCGGTGCCCCCACCTGCACCCTCCTTGCTGCACCTCGGGCCCTCCGCTGCCCCCCAGCAAGGTGAGCACTGAAGGGGGGGACCCCTCTGTTTAACCTGCCCCATGGTGACCCTCAGAGCAGCCTCCTGCACCCCAGCCTGTGGCACTTGGGGGCTGGAGTCTTCACCCCCCAGCCTAACACCGAGGGCCCCCCCCCGCTGCTCTGACACTCTCTGCCCTGGGGTCCCATGGGTACTGGGTGCCCCCGGGAGCAGCACGGCACCCCCACACCTCGGGGACTCCTGTGCCCCACCATGGGGGATTTGGGGGTCCCCGTATCCCACAGCAGAGACCCCAAACACCCCCTGCTTTAGCAGGGCACCCCAATGTACCCTCCCTGGGGGGGGGGGGGATTAACCCCCATAGGGACCCCATATAATCAGCCCCTCCAGCGCTGGGGGTCTCGTCCCGTCCTGCCCCCATCCCGCTCCCCAGGGCTGGGTGTGGGTGCTGGGGTAGGGCGAGGGGGCTGTGGTGTGCCGGGGGGGGGGATATGGGGAGCCCGTGGGGCGGGAGGGGGGTGCTATGGGGCGGACCCGCCGGTGCCCCGCCCCCTCACGCCGGTGCCCGCACCCCAGGAGGAGGCCCCGGCCCAGGGGAGGCGCTGCGGGACCCCCAGCACCGCGCACGGCGGGACCCGGACCCGGTCCCGGAGCCTCCGCGGGGCGCCCGAACCCGCGGGAGCCGCTGTCCACGCCTCCCGGCCACGCCCCGAGCTGACCACGCCCCCAATGGGGAGGAGCCAGCGGGAGCCGCGCCCTCCTGGAGCAGCGACCAATCAGCAGCCGCCTCCTCCGGCCGGCAGCGGGCGGGACGCAGCGGAGCATGACACCATTGTCAATCAGACGCCGGCTTCTCCAAAGAACTCCTCTGATTGGCTGCTGCCCTTCCGGGGCACCGCCTCCCCTCCCGCAGCAGCCAATGAGGCGTCGCCGAGGGGGCGAGAGGGGATGAGTGGGCGGGGCTCTCAGCGAGAAGGTGTGGCGGGGAGCGGGGCTCGGCGGCCAATCAGAATCACGCTCCTGCAGGCCAGCTTCTGAGGGCGGGGCGCCACGCCCCTGGTGGGCGTGGCGGGACTGAAAGGGGGCGTGGTCGGACTGAAAGAGGGCGTGTCCAGCGCAGTCCCCGCCCGGTGCGGGGGAAGATGGCGGCGGCGGCGGCGCTGCGGCGGCTGCGGTGGGGCCGTGGTGGCGGCTGCGGGGCCGGTCCCGGAGCGCGGTGAGTGGGGCCTGGCCGGGACCCCCGCTTCCAGCACCCCCCGGGGCCCGGTCCCCCCCGAGCGCTCCAGGGCCGGGCCTGGCGCAGGGCCCCCGCCGCTGTTAATGCCTCACCGGCCGGGGCCCCACGGGCAAAGGTCCGTCCGTGCAGCGCGGTCCCGTCCGGGCACCACCGGGGCTGAACGGGACCCCCGGGGCTGGGCTGGGGCTTTCCCCACGTCTCCCCCATCACATGGGTCTGGATGGAATGAACACCCCCCCCCCCGCTGTGGGCATCACGGGCTGTGGGTCCCGGTTCGCCCTCCAACCGCCGGTCCCGGTGCTGAGCCGCTGTCCCTTAGGGGGTACTCGCAGGACGCCGAGGGCAGCTGGTTCCGCTCCCTGTTTGTGCACAAGGTGGATCCCCGCAAGGACGCGCATTCCAACCTGCTCTCCAAGCGGGAGACCAGCAGCCTCTACAAGATCCAGTGTGAGTGCCCCACGGCGGGCACGGGGCTGGGGCGCTCCCCCCATCACCCATGGGGGACCCCCCCGCACCGGGTCCAGCCCCAGCCTGCAGCCGCTCTGTGCTCTCCCCGCAGTTCACAACGTGAAGCCGGAGTGCCTGGATGCCTACAACGGGCTGACGTGAGCCCGGCACCGGGGCTGCTGCGGGAGGGCTTGGGCTGTGCCCTGCTCCTTGCCTCGGTTCCCTCCCTGTGGAACGGGTGCATCCCCCCCCCCCAGAGCCGTCCCTGCCCGCACCCCTCGTGCGGGGCTGGGGGGGGGTGGGAGCAAACGGGGCTATCGGGGGTGTTTTGGGGTGGTGCTGCCCCCCCACCCAGCTCCTTTCTCTGTGCTCCCATAGGGAGAAGGTGCTGCCCAAGCTGCACTTGGACCCGGACTACCCCTGTGACCTGGTGGGCAACTGGAACACTTGGTACGGGGAGCAGGACCAGGCAGGTGAGGGCAGCGCCAAGGGCAAAGACCTCGGCTCACCCTTGGGTCTGGGGCACGACGGGAGAGGTTCGGGAGCCGTTGGGTGGACTCGGGGGGTGCTCTACCCATCCCATCCGCGTCCCATCCCCATTCCCATCCGCGTCCCATCGCCGTCCCATCCCCGTCCTATCCACGTCCCATCCCCATTCCCATCCGTGTCCCATCGCCGTCCTATCCCCATCCCATCCCCGTCCAATCCCCATCCCATCCCTGTCCAATCCGCATCCCATCCCCGTCCCATCCCTATTCCCATCCGCGTCCCATCGCCGTCCCATCCGCATCCCATCCCCGTCCCATCCCCGTCCCATCCGCATCCCATCGCCATCCCATCCCCATCCCCACTCCATCCCCATCCCTCTCTCTCCTCACTCCCAGTGCACCTCTGGCGCTTCTCCGGGGGGTACCCAGCACTCTCGGACTGCATGAACAAGCTCAAGCAGAACCAGGTACCAGCGGGATGAGGGTGGGGAGGAGCAGCTCGGGCTCCCCCCATCACCTCTGCCTGACTCCCCCCACCCCGGGGCTTGTCCCCAGGAGTACCTGGAGTTCCGCAGGGAGCGGAGCCGGATGCTGCTGTCCCGCAGGAACCAGCTGCTCCTGGAGTTCAGCTTCTGGAATGAGCCCCTGCCCCGGCAGGGACCCAACATCTATGAGCTCAGGACCTACAAGCTGAAGGTGAGACCCACAGAGGGAGGGTCCTGCTTTGGGGGGGGGGAGCCCCCACATCCCTCTTGGAGCGGATGAGGTCCGGCTGCCCCCTCTGGTTCCTTTTCTCCTCTATTTCTAGCCAGGGACCATGATTGAATGGGGCAACAACTGGTGAGTGGTGGCTGTGCTGGGAAGAGGCCCCCCTGGATCAATGGGGGGGCTCTTTGGGAACCTCCCCCCCCGTGTTGCCCCCAGGGCTCGGGCCATTAAGTACCGTCAGGAGAACCAGGAGGCTGTGGGGGGGTTCTTTTCCCAGATCGGGGAGCTCTACGTCGTGCACCACCTCTGGGGTAAGGGGTCCCTGGCACCCCGGGGGTACCCCCACTGCAGAGGCTGGTTTGGGGGGGGGGGGCTGGGTACCAGCTCCATCCTCTCCATACAGCCTATAGGGACCTGCAGTCCCGGGAGGAGACAAGGAACGCAGCCTGGAGGAAGACAGGTTGGGACGAGAACGTGTATTACACGGGTGAGTGGGGACCCCCTGCATTGGGGACACCCCCCCCCACATTGGGGACCCTGCCTGTATTGGGGACCCCCTTTCCTGACCAGTCTCTTCCTTCCTTTCCCAGTCCCGCTGGTCCGGACCATGGAATCCCGGATAATGATTCCCATGAAGATCTCCCCCCTGCAGTGAGGAGGGGTCTGCCCACACCCCAAGGGGCTCCCTTCCTGCCTGCACCCCGGCCTCTGCTCTCCTGCCCCCCCCCCCCCCATTATGGGGTGGTCTGGGATGGGGGGGAGCCCCCCATCCTGCAGTGGGTCCCCATGTGGGGCAGGGGCCGCCACTGGGGAGGGGGGGGCAGAGGTTTGGGGGTGTCTTAATTCCTCCTGATGGGCCCGGTGGGGGCCGTGTCCCCAATTAAATATTGACCATGCCAAAGCCTGGCCCCTGGGGGGAGTGGGGCTGGGGGGGGCGGGGGGGGGGCAAATTGGGGTGCTCCAGCCCCCCCCAGAATGGGGAGCAGAGCCCCCAGCCTGGTGTCAGCCATGGGTGTCCCCTGCACCAGAACCCCCCCCCTTGCTTTGGTGCCCTGGTACTGCCTGGTCACCCCCAAACCCCTCCATGTGACATCAGGGACCCCCCCAAACCCCTCCGTGTGACATCAGGGACCCCCCCAAACCCCTCCATGTGACATCAGGGACCCCCAAACCCCTCCATGTGACATCAGGGACCCCCCCAAACCCCTCCGTGTGACATCAGGGACCCCCCCAAACCCCTCCATGTGACATCAGGGACCCCCAAACCCCTCCATGTGACATCAGGGACCCCCAAACCCCTCCATGTGACATCAGGGACCCCCCCAAACCCCTCCATGTGACATCAGGGACCCCCAAACCCCTCCGTGTGACATCAGGGACCCCAAACCCTCCCGTGTGACATCAGGGACCCCAAACCCTCCCGTGTGACATCAGGGACCCCCCCAAACCCCTCCATGTGACATCAGGGACCCCAAACCCCTCCATGTGACATCAGGGACCCCAAACCCCTCCATGTGACATCAGGGACCCCCCCAAACCCCTCCATGTGACATCAGGGACCCCAAACCCCTCCATGTGACATCAGGGACCCCAAACCCCCCCGTGTGACATCAGGGACCCCAAACCCTCCCGTGTGACATCAGGGACCCCCCCAAACCCCTCCGTGTGACATCAGGGACCCCCAAACCCCTCCATGTGACATCAGGGACCCCAAACCCCTCCATGTGACATCAGGGAACCCCACCCCCCCCCCCTGTGACATCAGGGACCCCCAAACCCTCCCGTGTGACATCAGGGACCCAAAACCCCTCCACGTGACATCTGGGTCCCCAAAGCCCTGCCCGTGACATCAGGGACACCACCCCCCTCCATGTGACATCAGGGACCCCAAACCCCTCCATGTGACATCAGGGACCCCAAACCCCTCCACGTGACATCAGGGACCCCAAACCCCTCCATGTGACATCAGGGACCCCAAACCCCTCCATGTGACATCAGGGACCCCAAACCCCTCCATGTGACATCAGGGACCCCCAAACCCCCCCGTGTGACATCAGGGACCCCCAAATCTCTGTGTGCCCCTGGTGCCATTGGGTCCCCATCTGTGTCGCCCCCCCCAAGCCCATGGATGCCCCCGCTATCACTGGGGGTCCCCAGCACCACGGGGGACCCCGCTCCTCGGGGCAGCCTCCCCCCAAGGCGGGGTTCGCCACGCCCACTGCGACCGAAGCCACGCCCACTTATGAACGCCGCCCGCGGTCCTCCGGTGAGAGCGTCCGCTAGGGGGCGCTTTCAGGCGCGCTGCGCCGCTCTAGTCTGCTCCTCTGTCGTCACTTCCGGGTGGAGCTGAGGGAAGCGGCGCGGTCCTGGTGTGTGGGGTCCGTGGGGCTCGGTGGGGCGGAGGCCCCGGTGTGTGGGGTCTGTGGGGCTCAGTGGGGCGGAGGTTCCGGGGTGCCCAGTCTGTGGGGCTCGGTGGGGCGGAGGCTCCGGTGTGCGGGTCCGTAGGGCTCGGTGGGAACGGGGGTCGCTGTGTGTGGGGTCTGTGGGGCTCGGTGGGGCAGGGGCTCCGGTGTGCGGGGTCTATGGGGCTCAGTGGGGCAGGGGCTCAGTGGGGCGGAGGCCCCGGTGTGTGGGGTCTGTGGGGCTCAATGGGGCAGAGGCCCCGGTGTGTGGGGTCTGTGGGGCTCGGTGGGGCAGGGGCTCCGGTGTGCGGGGTCTGTGGGGCTCAGTGGGGCTGAGGCTCCGGTGTGCGGGGTCTGTGGGGCTCGGTGGGGCGGAGGCCCCGGTGTGCGGGGTCTGTGGGGCTCAGTGGGGCCGAGGCCCCAGTGTGCGGGGTCCGTGGGGCTTGGTGGGAACGGGGGTCTCTGTGTGTGGGGTCCGCGGGGCTCAGTGGGGCGGAGGCCCCGGTGTGCGGGGTCTGTGGGGCTCGGTGGGGCAGAGGTTCCGGTGTGTGGGGTCTGTGGGGCTCAGTGGGGCAGAGGCCCCGATGTGCGGGGTCTATGGGGCTCGGTGGGGTGGAGGTTCCAGGGTGCCCGGTCTGTGGGGCTCGGTGGGGCGGAGGTTCCGATGTGCCCGGTCTGTGGGGCTCGGTGGGGTGGAGGTTCCAGGGTGCCCGGTCTGTGGGGCTCGGTGGGGCGGAGGCTCCGGTGTGCGGGGTCCCGGTGGCCCCGCTCGCAGTGGCTTTGCCCCCGTGGCAGCAGCTCTGCCTCCCCTCCCGCAGCCCGGCAGCGCCATGTCCTCGGAGTCCAGCAAGAAGAGGAAGCCCAAAGTGATCCGTACAGACGGGGCCCCGCCGGAGGGCAAGAGGGGCAAAGGCGATGGGGAGCAGGTAGGGCCCCGGCCCCCCCCCCTGCTGCAGCAGGGCCCTGTTGCGCTGAGCTCATCCCAGTGCTGGCTTTGTCCTCCCCCTTGGGGAGCTGAAGCCCATCCCTTAGAGGCAGGGCAGCTCCAATGCCTCTGAAACACTGAGCTTCCAGAGCTGTCTCCGTCTCTTCCAGGACTCCTCAAGGAGTCTGAAGTTCATGTGGAGACACAGGGAGAGCGAGCACAGGGCTGAAAGGTCCCTCGGGGCTTGCCCATGGCCTTAAAACGCTCCTGTGAGCAAGGGTGCTGGGGAGGGGCTCTTCATCAGGGGCTGCAGGGACACAACAAGGGGTGATGGGTTCAGAGTGAAACAGGGGAAGGTCAGGTTGGAGACAGGGCAGAAGCTGTTTGCTGTGAGGGTGCTGAGGCGCTGGCACAGGGTGCCCAGAGAAGCTGTGGCTGCCCCATCCCTGGCAGTGTTCAAGGCCAGGTTGGACACAGGGGCTTGGAGCAAGCTGCTCTAGTGGAAGGTGTTGGAGTTGGAGCTGGAGGAGCTTTAAGGTCACTTCAACCCAAACCATTCTATGATTCTACGGGGAAATTTGGGTTCAGCCAAAGGGGGGATAAGGGCTGGAGAAGTGATTTCCTTCCCCACTGGTCCTGTGGATGCGCTGGTGCAGGGCAGGTGCCGGTTTAAAGCCATGAAAGACAGCCTGAGCCTCCCGGGCTTCGTGCCTGGGGTTACCTGAGTCCTGGCTGTGGGGTTCACGGCCAGAGGCAGGAATTGAGCCCTGCTTTGTGTCCCAGTCCCAGTGCAGGGGAGCTGGGAGGAGGGAGGCTCAGGGGGTGCTCTCTGCCCCTGCAGGACCTCCGCTACTACAGCGAGGAGTGCGAGGTGGACCTCCGGGACCCCATCAAGGACTATGAGCTCTACAGAGAGACCTGCCAGGAGCTGCAGCGGCTCATGGCGGAGATCCAGGAGCTGAAGAGCCGGGGCATCAAGGACAACGTAAGGAGGAGAAGCCTCGGGGCTTGGTTCCATGTGTTTTCCTCTTTGGTGTTTTCCATTAACCTGAGGGAGAGCAGCCTCCCCCCTGGAGCATACACCCCATTGAGCTCAGTTTGGCCTTTGCCCGGGCAGAGATCGCAGTCACTGAGTTACTGAGCTCCTGCAGCGTGTCCAGGGGGCTGTGGGGCAGGAATCGAGGCTGGGCTGACCACAGTGGGGCTGGCTGGGTGCTCCCTGTCCTGTGTGGGTCACCAGCCCCGCCATGGCTGGGGCAGGCTTGCACTGGCAGGGTGGCTGCTTCAGGCTCCCTCTCGTCCAGAAGCGAACCCAGAGCCCTCCTGGGTTACATCCAGCGGTGAATCTGAGCGTGGCAGTGGGGTGACACAAGTCATGGCCCCCGCAAAGCCCCCCTTGGAGCAGCCCTGCGGGGAGCACGTGGGGCAGAGGGGCTCCCTGTGCCTCACCCCCTCCCTCCTCACCCCCAGGCTGCGGAGATCGACGAGCGGCGCGTCCAGAGCTGCGTCCACTTCATGACGCTGAAGAAGCTGAACCGCCTGGCTCACATCCGCCTCAAGAAGGGCCGGGACCAGACCCACGAGGTGCAGGGGGGCTGCGGGCCGGGACCTGTCCAGGTCACACACAACGGGTGCTGTGCCACGTTCAGGAGGAGCTGAGCAGCAGCAGGGGTGTGGGGTGTGAATTAGAGAGACTCTTGTGTGCTGCAGCAGAAGCTGCAGTGCTGCTGCCCAGCGAAGGAGCTCTCTTTGCTTCTCTCCTCAATAGAAAGGGAAGTCGGAAAGCTCCATCTCAAGAGGCTGGTGTGCTGCAGGCCTGAGGAATGTGAATACAATTGACCCCAAAGCTCTGCACCCAGAGCTCTGCAGTGTGTGAACACACTGTTGCATTGTGCCACTGCAGAGGCTGAGGACACGAGGGGACTCGGTCTGCGTGCCCCAGCAGGGCTGCCCTGCTCTGTGCCTTGTGCTGGGCATCACTTTGATGTTGTGATCATTTGGTTTCCCAGCCCTTAAAAATGTCTTTTTTTCCCCCAAAAATGAGTAGTTGCACAGCCTAAAACTTGCTGTATGGTGAGAGGGGCTTGGTGACTCCTGGGGGTGTGTTAGGAAGGCAGCAGAGCTTCATCCCCTGCTCTGGCCATGTCTGTGTTGCAGGCAAAGCAGAAGGTGGATGCGTATCACCTGCAGCTCCAGAACCTGCTCTACGAGGTGATGCACCTGCAGAAGGAGATCACCAAATGCCTGGAGTTCAAGTGAGTTTGGCTGGGGGGGAGAGGGGCCCTGGGGTGTCTGAGGTGGGGTGGAGGCCTCCAGTGTTGGGCATCGCTTCCTGTCTTGCCTCAGGCTCTTGTGGGAGGAGAGCGGGTGCTCCAGATGCCACCACACAGGAGAGATGGAGTCTCTCCAGTACTGTCCAGGCTGGTTCA